GGGTTGAGACACTGAGTGCTCCTCCTCCTCATTGTTGTTGCTCGTACGAGGAGGATGATCAGAGTGTCGCCGAGGGAGCTGGGCGCGAATCCGCTCGTTTTCTGCGCGTAGCGCCGCTAGGTCAGCTTCATTAGCGATCCACATTGTAGCTAGGTCGGTTTCGTGCTTGGCACGCATGTTCTGCAGATCGGCGTCATGTTGCTGCCGCATCTGTTCGACCTGATCAATCAGCCTCCTCAATGCTGCTTTGCTATCCATGGAAGATGGATGATTTAGGTCGTCTGTTGCGCGTCTGCTATGGCTTCTGGTGCAAACCATAAGCGTGGCCGATAAGAGCTGTTCTTGATCGACCCCACGGTGGGCGCCAAATGTTCTTACCAGAAATCTGCTGTAGAGATGATCTGCCGAGTAAGATTGGTGAGCCTCCTTCGCTGGTACGTTGATGTTCCAAGATGGGGGTGGTACCTGCAAAAGAGACTCCGATAGTGTATATTAGGGTTGCACGTACCTTAGTGTATATTAGGGTTGCGTTGGGCCTTGGGCCTGAGATTAGTTGTGATCTGATTAGGTGGAGAATCTCGCCTAGACCGAGATTTCCTGAGATCGGTTACGATCTATTTAAGTGTCGAGCTGACGTCGCGTAGCGCGTGCCCGAGGTTATCTTGCGCTATGATGCCGAGCTCCGAGCTCGGTTTTGCAGTACGGATAGTACATAGATTAATTCCAGCAAAGGTGGCAGTGCCTCCTAGTTAGGAATTAATTTATAACTTCCAAATATTGTAATAAAAATAATATGACAAAGATGCACATTTTGATCTTTTATCAAGAACGTTCAAAATTACAAAAGAAAAGAAAATTAAGGCTTTTAAAACAATAATATCCCAAACTAAGCCTAGCTATGCCCGATGTCACATCCTATCAGAGCATGCCCAACTGAAGCCTTAAGCCTCATCACCAACATCCTCATGATGATGATCACCTGCAACATAATTTAAAAATATACAAGAACAACAAGGGAGTGAGAAACATCTCACTCAGTTTCAGGTGCAGAAATAAAGGTTAGATAGCGCACACACAACAAATATTAGTCACATGTAAACAATACACATAAATAATCAGTATCACATATATACTCATTTATCATGCTATGATGTCATGGACTCGACTCATAAATTCATGCATGTGGCGCCATACGGAAGTTTCACATTTAATCATTGGTGACCCTAAGGTACACCTGGTTACATCACCGGTGACCCTAAGGTACACCTTGTTAGCATGTTACGTCGTGGGTGACCCTAAGGTACACCTTGTTAGCATATTAAGTCGTGGGTGACCCTAAGGTACACCTTGTTAGCATCACTGGTATGCGGCCTCAGCGGCACACCTGGAGTTATATGTGCATATGATGCATGTCATACATTCATTATTTCATTGACTCAACATTTGACTTATTACAGGATTTCATTTAGTATATCATGTCATCATTTTTCATATTCTCATAATCATAGTTTGTCACAATAGTCCATTCTTATGTCTCATGTCATTTGTGCAAATTTCACATAGTCATGTCATAATTGTTCCTCATAAGGTCTGCACAGGAATCCACTGAGAGCATTCTTATTCATATTAAAACTTATTTATTTTTAACATTAATCACATATTCATTTATTACTTCCAACAAGGAACAAGGTAGAGAAAATAGAAAATAAAACATAACACATTAATACTTTGCATGTTCAAAAGAGCATGCCACAGGCAAGAGATTGGGAGTCAATCTGACAATCAAACTATCCAACAATTATTCCCACACCCCCGAGCGAGGTTTTTCACTCCCCCCTTACCTGGATATAGCAGGAGCTGAAACTAGAGCAGAACCTCCTCCTCTGGATTCCCTCTTTCTTTCTCTCTCTCTTTCTTTCTCTTTCTCTCTCTCTCTCTCTTCTCTCTCTCTTTCTCTCTCTAAGATTTTCACCTTCTCAGTCAGTATAATTTTTTCACCCCCCTGCCTCCTATTTATAGGCATCCAGGGGTACCCAGAACGGCCTATTCTGGATCCGGAACGGCCCGTTTCGAACCCTTCGAATATACATAAAATTTTTAACTAGAACGACCAATTCTAAAATCAGAACGGCCCATTTTCAGAAATCAGAATGACCCGTTCTAAAATTAGAACGACCCGTTCTGGGGTTCCTTTTAACACATATTGACTATAAGTAGAACGGCCCGTTTCCAGCTTAACTTTTTAGGCATTTTTCTTACTCTGGAACGGCCCGTTTCACTTTGGGAACGACCCGTTCTGGAAAAACCCAAATGGGCCTCTTTTCTAATTTGGAACGGTCCGTTCCACTTTTGGAACAGCACGTTCCAGCCTAAAAAAACAGAATTTTATAAAAAAATTTCCTAAATAATTTAAATTATTAAAAACCTTTAAAATATTCTATAGAAACCCCTTTAATTAACTAAAATAACTATAAAAATAATCTTCATAAATATAAAAATAGATAATAATTGATATTGTAATAGTAGAAAATCCGGGGTGTTACACATTTAATAGAAACATTAAATGTTTATGTATGAAACGTGTATTTCTTATTTGATCCAAACAGTTACTTATCACCATTTCCTTCTATTTTGAGGGTAACAAAAATAGTATTAGATCAAGCAGTTGAGGTTGGTGTACAACAGTAATTTGCAGTGTCTTTTCTGTGAAATCCTAGATTTTTCTCTTTCTTTTCTGAAGCAATGATTTGACATTTCCTTTTGAAAACTTTTGTTATCTTTGAAAAATCTTTTTCATTTGATTTGTTAAGGAATAAAGAGTTAATGCTTCTTAAAGACTGATTTGTTATTTTAACAAGAAATACATGTGGCATTAATCTAAATGATGCACTTTGTCTAATGCACTTCGTCTTACAAATGAAATATGAAATTTGCTTCGTCTAAAATAGGCTCTTAAAAAACTTTGTTTGTTATCATAAAAAATCACAGGTACTCGATGAATTCAAGATTGTTTTTTGATTCTACATACTTCCTTTTTTATCTTACAATAATATCTTTCACAAATGAGTCATAATCACTAAGAAAATGCATAATATTTTGATTATCTAAGTTTGACTCATTAACATTTGTTTGTGAAGTTGAACTTTCCACTATTCTCTTAGCTTTAGTTTGATACTTTTCAAACAATGAGTAGCATAATTTCTAGATATTGTTAATTTCAATTAAAGATAAGCGACCATAAAAGCTTAAGAAAAAAATATTCCAACAACTTGAACTTGTATCTTGGATTTAAAATAATATTTATAATATATATATATATATATATATATATATATATATA